ATATATATATCCCTGAGCTTTCAGAAGAAGGAGTTGTAAGTGTAAGCCCAACCTCTGAATGAGTCCTGGGCTTCCTATGCTGCGATGAAACCTCTGCCTCCCACACATGTCACAGGCCACAAGGTCCTCTCCAGAGATGCACCAAGACTGGCACCATACCCTCAAGTCTCTAAAATTATAAGCAGGGCACATCTCTCTTCCTCAGTATGTTGTTATAGCTACAAAAAAATGGCCAAATACAACTTCTGGTTCTTGACAGAAATCAATGGATTTCACATTAATGATACCTACAAAAGGAGTTCCAAATTGCAGTGATAATTTATCAATAGTGTCGTACCTGTGCTTTCCTTTCTTTCCTTTGTGCATGTAATAATGCAGGTACACGTGTCTGTCTACAGAAATACCTTTCTTTAATAGAGATGAGCTTTCCTTATAACCAGCTGTAAGTCCTACCTTAGTACTTGCTTTACTAAGGAAAAGCAGTTGGAATATAAAACTCTGTTATTACTGCTGAAAATATGGAGAAACGATGGAAAAAATCCTTTAAAGTGTTTAACAATAGTGAAGAAATCCCAGTTAGAAAGTGAATCCTCAGTTGCAGGAGACAGTGGCTAGACGGGTTATGAGGACATGATAACACTGACTCACACGCATGCCTCCCAGAGAATGGGTCCAACTCCTGCTGGAAACTGTGGGACTAAAATGAAATATCTGTGATTTTCTCTTTTTTTTTTCATTAAGTTTATTGGTACATTGAAGATATACAGTATAGTTACATTCATTATTGGGATCTTGTACCTTTATATGATGTATCTTGGTTCTTACTTTTTCCCCATTCCCCTGCCCTCCCTTCACCCCCCTCCACCCTTTCTTATTTACAAAGGCTTTGTTTCCATTTTTTTATTTTCTCATATTTTTTCTTTTCCCTCCTTTCCTTTCCCCTACCCTTCCCACTTCCCCTACTCCTGTGATGATCTCTTTTTAAAGATAAGTTTTAAGCTCCTTATGCGTAGGAATTAAAATTTACAGGGGATCTCCATATTGATTTCCATAGTGGTTGCACTAGTCTGCACTCCCACCAACAACGGAGAAGGGTTCCTTTCTCCCCTCAACCCTGCTCACATTTGTTATTTTGTTATTGGTTGATTTCTTTCTTTTTTTTTTTTTTTTTTTTTTTTTTTTTTTTTTTTGTACCGGGGGATCGAACTCAGGTCCTTGTGCTTGCAAGGAAGGCCACCAAACTGCTGAGCTAAATCCCAGGCCCCTGTGGTTGCTCTCTTGATAGCAGCCATTCTTTGTGGGGTGAGATGGAATCTCAGGGTTGTTCTCATCTGCATCTCTTGATGCAGTGATGTGGAACATTTTTTCTTATATATACTTGCTGCTTTTGCTTCTCTGAGAAATGTCTGTTCATTTCAGATGCCCATTTTTCAATATACTTCTAAGTGAAATAAATAAGTCACACATGTGTAAATACCGAATAGTTTCTCTGGTGTGAAAAACTATAATGGTACATAAGATCCTAATGTTATAATTGACAATGTTAAATAGGAAGAAAAGGGCTAAAGGTATAGGGAAAGTGGGAAGGGTAGGGGAAAGGTAATAAGGGAAAAGAAAAAAATATGAAAAAATGAGAAAAATGGAAATGAAGCATTTGTAAATAGGGAAGGGAGAAGAGGGTGAAGTGAAGGCTGGGACAAAGGGAAAAAATGAGAACCAAGACCTGTCATGTAAAGGTAAAAGATCCCAATGGTGAATGTAACTGTACTGTATACCTAAAATGTACCAATAAACTCAATGAGAGAAAAAAAAATTACAAGGGAGCAAAAACAGAAGAAGAGAGGAAATCTCAAAGTAAAATCAGAGAGGTTTATAAAATAAAAGCATAGGAGAGGGAAAAAATAAAAACAGACAATAGGGAAATTACCTTGTAAAACAATAAATCTAGACATATCTAAAATTGTAATGCTATTTTCTAGACTAAATTATATCGATTAGATTATTTGTTCACCAGATGGTGGAGGTTAACATTTTTTCTCTCTGGAGAGAGTGCTTGTGTGAATGTGCTCTGTGTAGTCACCAATGTGTTTTGTCTACATAAATATGTAAATGAAATGTTATTTTATGAAACTGAAAAAGAACTTGAGAACAGACTCACTATTGATGTTCACGAAAGATGTATTATATCAACATTTTCAACACTCACCACAGCTAGGCATTCAAAATCGCAAGTACTTTAATTATAACTTTTAAAGATATTTTGAAATAATGGCTGCTTTATGCACATATTTCATACTGTGAAGTGTCTCTATAAGATACAATCTTGGGGTTTTTAAATGTATTTAGAGCCATTAGCATATATAATTACACTAGAAAAAATTGGATGGCACTGTGATATTTTTTGCAAAAATTTCTGAAGAAATGAAAAAAGTTGCACAGAAATGACTGGATTTCTCAGGGTTTGAAATCATTTGAAGAAGTTCCTGTGTCTGCACCACTTAAGGAATTTATCAGAAGCCACTGATTGATGCTTTGAGGCTATTTAAATCTTGAAGTTGTACTCATCCCTGTTTTTGTAAAATAGGTGCAAACAACTTATAAGACTGCTATCTATATATTTTATTTTCATTTTCAACTGGCACATTAATACAGAATATTTAGGTGGAAGAATATCTTGATTTATTTATATATATAATTCACGTAGAAATGGGGTAAAAGGGCTTTAAACAAGATACTCATTTTAGAAGGTGAACTCTTTGCGGTCTAATGAATGAAATATTAAGGCAGAAAAAAATTTAGAACTGAATTTAGGTAACTTTTTAAATACTTTCCTCTAAATTCACCCTTAATTATCTAAGACGTAACCCCTTCACACACACCCTGAGAACATTAAGTAATATTTAGTGTGAGATAGAAGTAAAAGAAACTATACTAGCAATACAAAAGTCTTGAATCAGAGGGTGTTTTATGCATTGGAGGCAAATATCACCTTGATAAGCCTTGATATGAATTTCCCAGTGCCCTCTCTCCTCTTGCGTGGCTTCGCCTCCTTGTTTAATCTCCTTATGACTCTCCATCCTACCAGGTAGACTCGCACTAAAGCAAGCTACCATTATCCATTTTCTCCGGGCTCTTCCTGCTGCCCAGAAAACATGAAGCTACATCATTAACCAGAAAAGAGACCATAATACCTTTCTGCATACACTTTTCTCTGCTTTGTGAGACAGTCTAGAAAGTTTTCCCAACTTTTGTATTTCTACCATAGCTCTAGTGAGTGACTTTCATTTGGAATATGCTTAAATATAATTTTTACATAACTCACTCTTTCTTTCTCTCTTTCCTCTGTGCCTTCCTTGTGCTCCTCCAGATTATTAGCTTATTAAATGTCTTCACACCTCAGAAAACGCTGGAGGAGTTCCAGGACGTGTAAGTAACTAACTCCCAGAGGAAGGGTGAGCCAGCATTCATGTAACTCAAGGGAAAGTTACAAAACAATGGAAAAAGTAGAGAGATGAAATCCCTCGTAGCTATCAAATGGGAGGTAAGACCTGGGACCAAATGAAACGCCAAGTAGCTGGGGAAGGTTCTGCTGGTGGTGTTGCGTCTTCACTGTGCCTCCTTCTGGTCCACGGGTTCCATGTGCTTTGTGGTCAGTCGTTCTTGTTCCATCAGGAAAGGCTTGCTTAGTTATTCATTTTTTTATTATTAATTGATTCTGTGCCCTATCTAGGATAAGTCAGTTCACTTTGAGAAGTAGCAGTACAAAGGGCAGGATAAGACTATCTTTGTTTCCATTTTGTGCCACCTTTGATTCTGTGTAAAAAGAATCTATCTCAAATAATAACCAGAGAGAGGAGGCACTTCCTCATCTCAGGGTTTACATTGCCTTTAGTGGAAGTAGCTATTCTGAACACTTTTTCTTATTTGTAATTATAATATTCAAGAAAGAGTTGAGGGAGTATAGGGAGAAGCGAGAGCAAGGTGAAAATAAGAATATACGGGTGTGAATTGCACATTGATGAATGATGGTTCTGCTCGCAGCCTGGTGACAGAGTTATTACTGCTCACTCGCTATAACTTATTTCAGGACTTGGAGGTTTTCATATTCTGGCTCTGTCCAAGGCGGAGCTATAAAGTTCACAAAACTTCCAGATCTAATAGAGAATTCTAACTTGACTAGCAGATTTCACTGGTCCTGTGACCTGGAGCTGACATTGTGGATTTGCCTTCCAGTTACTTAGTAATGGAACTGATGGACGCCAACCTGTGTCAGGTGATTCAGATGGAATTGGACCATGAGCGGATGTCCTACCTGCTATACCAGATGTTGTGTGGCATCAAACATCTGCACTCCGCTGGAATTATTCACAGGGTAAGGACACTTACTACAGAGTTACAGCTAAGAGTCTTTTGGAGAAGAGGAGGAACAGCTGTAGGTCCTTTTCTTTAAGTAGGGTGACTTCTTCATATACAACGGACCTCCTTATTCCTCTGATAACTGAATTAGCTTATAGTTTACTAATGTGTAGTCGGAACTTCTAGCCAAACTGTTGTTGACTTCTTTGGACGTTATGTTTCGGTTCTGAGGAACCTCATGCTTTCTCGCTCCTTGATTGGCTGAGATTGTGCAGGTAGGTGGAATAAAGCAGTTGATTTCCACAGTTCACTTCTGGCAGCATAGTGACAGCTCCCCTGATTTTCTCTTCTGTCAGGTCTGGAAGGGAAATATACACTGAAAGGTTTATGTTATGCTAAGCAGAAACCTGAGATAACAATAAATGATATACTGTCTTATTTTTTTCTAAAACTTCTTCCCAAGATGGGCCTAAGCTGTGGAAATAATAGTACAGTTCTAAAATTTTTCTGAAGCTATTTAATAAAATCCAAGTTGTCCACTCTTTCGTAGCTGTAATCCTGCACCTTATACAGGGCTTTGCAGGCAAGAGGGGACCCCGCAATGCCTTATTGATGGGGTAGACGAGATCCCAGCTCCATAGGGCACAGATGTTTAATGTCTTCTCACTTTCCGTTGTCAGGATTTAAAACCGAGTAACATTGTAGTCAAGTCCGATTGCACATTGAAAATCCTGGACTTCGGATTGGCCAGGACAGCAGGCACGAGCTTCATGATGACGCCGTACGTGGTGACACGTTATTACAGAGCCCCCGAGGTCATCCTGGGAATGGGCTACAAGGAGAACGGTAGGGGTGCTGACGAAACCAGGGAGAAAATGGGTGCATGGCTTACATAGCCCAGGGGAGTGTTTTCTTGCATCAATAAGAGTTTTTCAAAATTAGAACTGCGAGCTTTCGTATTCAGAGTTTGTTATTTTTATGAAAAAGAGTACTGGGAAGACTCACTCGCTCAAAATGGGGAGAATGCGTTTGAGAAGTAAGCTTTGCCAGAAGAGCCCTGAAATGTTGCAGATAAGAAATTGTAGATGGAGGCTGTTTCAGCAGTCAAAGGGGCACTGAGGAGCACAAATGTCCTAGAGTTTCGGGAAGACTGCTGTTTAGGGTGCAGCTGAGGTAAGAATGCGTGTGGAAACAGCAGGACACCCGTCTCATTTAGCCACCTGGCTTTCCATCACAGCTTAGATTGGGAGCTCCCGTCCTAGGGCAAGACCACCAAGAGATTCCTCGCAAGCACTCAGTGAATGGTGAAGATGGGATAACCCTCATTTCTGTTACTCGGGTTGGAGAAGCCGTTCACTTATACTTTAAAGTGCTCTGCAAGTAATGTTTAGGGTCTCATGGCAAACCTTTCTAAACTCCAGAGGTCATAGAGAGGAAAAACATTAAATTTTACATTACTAATTTCAGAAAGAGAAACAAGTGTGTGACAACACTTAAAAGAAGGGTTTATTCAAATTGGATTTCAGTTGATTAAAATGGAGAATTTATCAACTACTTGCTAGAAAGCCTTGAAATAATACGATTTTGTCCAGTATCACACTTATAAGTAATGTAGCATGTTAAACATATCTAATATCCTTAGAAATTAAAGTAGTTTTAAACTAGGTCTGTAGTTATCTGCCCAATGTACCTTTCATACTTGTTTTAATATTCTGTTTAGTTCCAAGTAGTCTATTCTATATATTCTATAAAAATAATTGTCATTGTATTTTTATGTACATACACTACAGAGCATTTTATGAAAATTTCCTGGCCACTGAAGACAGCAAATACTTTTATGCATTTGTACAGAGCAAGGTCAAAATCAGCTTTTAAGAACGGCATCTTTGAAAACAAACAGACAAACAAACCCAGGCATGGTGGCACACACCTATAATCTCAGCACTCTGAAGGCTGAGGCTGGAGGATCTCTGTGAGTTCAGGGCCAGCCTGGACTCTGTATTGAGTTCAAGGCCAGCCTCCCTGAACTGCATAGTAGACCTTACCCCCTTCCGAATGAAAGCAAGGGTAAGTTCCATCTGGTGGCCATCGTCAGAGGTGTGTGCAGCCCTCCTGAGGAACTGGATTGCAGAAGCTTTTCAAAAGTTACTTCTTTCAAATCAGAGAGGGACCAACTGAAAAGTCGAGAAGTAAGGGCTGTAGGTGAAAATGACTTATTGTATATTTCAAGAAGTTTAGACCAGAGGGTTTTGCATGGTATGATAAATGTCTGAGGTGAGCCGGACGTGGTGGTACATGCCTGTAATCCCAGCACTCGGGAGGCTGAGGCAGGAGGATCGCTGTGAGTTCAAGACCAGCCTGGGCTACATAGTGAGTCACAGGTCAGTCTCAACTACATAGTGAGACCCTGTCTCAAACAAATAAACAAACAAATGTCTGAGGTGATGCTGATCACGCTGACTTGACCTCTTTACATTGTGTTCATTCACCACATGTCACACCATACCCCACACAGGTGTAATTACTATGTGTCAATGAAAGAAAGAAAGTTAAAGGTATAGGCGAGTCCGGGTCTGAATTTGCCCTCTGTGAATTTTTAGCCCTGCAGTGTGCACGTATTCAAACCCCTGTCCTCCTCTCACTAGGAAGGGTTGCACGTTGCTGGCTCAGTGTTTGGCTTCTTAGGCGCATGGTGAAAGGTGCAGAGTGGCCCTGTGCTGCCCTGCCTCGCACAGAGGAAAGCTCCGCAGACACCTGCTCGCTCCCAGGCTGTCCACTTCCCTGCACCACACCCACCTTCTTCCCCTTGGAGAGTGCGTCCTCATGTTGGGGCCCCAAGTCCCCCTTTGGTCCACTGATCGGCAAATGGGTGTGGGTGAAGTTGTCAGAAGGTGAGGTGTGGTTGGTTAGCAAGGATGGCGAGGGAGAACTAAATAGACGGAGGCATGTGCTTAACACACGTTAGCACCTGTGATAACCTTTTTTCAGCTTCACTCCCAAATGACTGCCTTATGCCTGTGCTAACTGATCACATATCATTTTTCTCTAAGTAGTTAAAATAGAAAAAACAGGTATTCATTTAGAAGTAAAATTCCTGCATCCTGGGAATTCCAGTTTACATGAAACTCTCATGTTTAACAGTGTTTTATGTAGAGCACAGCGAAGGTTTCTATTCACCTGTTGACTGCCACCCTTTGGTGGGAGGTGAAAATTGTACCTTCTAATCAAACTGTTCTTTTCCTCCTCCGTCAGAGGTCATGACCTTAGTTAACTTCACTTTCCTCCTTTTTCTTCACTTCCTTTTTGCTCCTGTTCCAGTGGATATATGGTCTGTGGGATGCATTATGGGAGAAATGGTTCGCCACAAAATCCTCTTTCCAGGAAGGGACTGTATCCTTGTACCTTTGCCACAGCTTTTCCTGTTTTGTTTCCTCTCCCTTTAAACACGTAATCATTTTTACCAGGAGAGTAAAGATAGAAGCAAAAAGTTGGGTAAGTGATATAAAATGTGATTTAAAAAGTGATAATTTCTATAACCTGACCTCTACTGCAGATTACCTACCACAACGATTTTTTGTATTTACATTTTCAATGTGATTTTTCTTCTTCATTTACTTTGTTACTCAAAGTAGCAATGTTATTTTTGTTCATAAATGACAGAGGCCACCAGAACCCAAATGATTGGAATATAATTATCTTCACACTTAGCAAAAGACACCACTGTATGCAAATCATTTTTCATCTCCTTTAGAAAACTGTTTTATGCTTCTACAACGTACAGACATAATGAATTCTCTCTTTGCTGATACCCTAAACTTCTGTCTATGGCTTCATTAATCAAAATTACTCTTGAAGCTATCTATCTATCTATCTATCATCTATCTATCTAGATATAGATATATATGGTGTATATAGATATATATGGTATATATATCTATTGTGTATTTATAGTTATGTGGTATATACATCTATATCTATATATAGATAGATATGGTCTTAATTAGGTCAGTATAGCATATCTTCTTCAAATTTTGAATTTTCACACTTAAAAATCATTATTGTTACTAAAATTTTTGCAAGTCAGGTGAGTTTAAAATAGGCTCCCCTCTTTTGACATCAAGATATGGCATTATTTTGTAGATAATTGCTTTTCAAACTAACTTTAGAATTTCATAGGTCAGTGTGGATTTGAATTGTAGCCTGGGTGCTGTGATAGATTTCATCAGAAATTTCTTAGACAGCTATTTATGAGTTGGAATTATTAGATACATAGATATGATTCTTAAATGGCCAAGGATTCACTCTAATAAAAGTATACATCTATGTTTCTATTATATATGAATAAAGTTTACACATCAATAGTAAAATATACATTGATAAGTACAGAAATAACTTCCTAACAAACATGAACACAAATCTAAGGAAACAATAAGTAACAACCTTAACAGTAATAATGCAGCAGGGCAAATTCAGCATATTTGTTATACATTAATTTGTTGGAAATTGGCAATAAAGAGATATGGTGCATAACTGTTAAGCACTGTCTAAGAAAGCTTCACTGAGGAAAATTTTTATTAAATAAGAGCTATGATTTTTTTAAAAAAATGAACTATGATTTTTATTTCAGTAAGAAAATGGGTCAGTAGTACAAAAAATCTGACTGAATTAAAAATTAATATCACTATGAACATGAATTCATATAGGCATCTGTTCATTCTGCTGAATATTAATGAGATAATCTTTAAATTCCACTAAATGCAGTGGTATCTTCCAGCCCTTCGCCAGCCAGTAGGGGCACACTAGCCAGCTTTATCTTTGGCAACTGAAATTATAGCCTGAATCCACAGGTGTGGTACATGGAAAATGGATACCATTTATTTAAGATGAAAAAGGTATATAAAATATATTATCAATAATTTTATAGTGATATGTATTAAAAATGACAATAGTTTTAATTTATTGGGCTGAATTATATATTTTGTTAAAATTAATCTAACCTGTTTCTTCCCATGTAGTTTGAAGAGAATCTTAGTGAATTTAAAATTGCATATGTGACTTACATTTGTGACTGTTAATTCTTCTATTGGGTAGTTCTTCTTTTTTTAATTTTTTTTTAATTTTTTAAATTTTTTCTGGTACCGGGGATTGAACTCAGGACCTTGTGCTTGTGAGGCAGGCGCCAGAACCACTGAGCCAAATCCCCAGCCCTTCACTGGGTAGTTCTACTTTAGAACATGGGATAACACTGCTGTACCCTTTTACTTACAATCAATCTTAATGTCTTAAATCATCATTTGCTTCATGTTTCTATATCTATATGGTGAAGTATCATTTTCACTATCAAATTTCATATCACCCCTTGGAAAATTTCATTTTACTTTGTTAGCCATTTATTGTTTGGAGATCAACTACATAGTCCACGTAGTTGATCTCTGAACAATAATATAATCCACAGTCACGTTTAAATTAATTGGATCTCATTGAAATGTAGAAATTATTTTCTTTGTACCTTTGCCTTTCGGGCATTATATATTTCAAACAAACAAAAGTTAGTGCTCAGCGTGACGTTCACAGCCTTGTCCCCCAATGCACTTGTTACTGGAAAACAATTACTGTGGGGTTCTCATTCCACGTGGGGCTGCTCCTGCAGGCTGGATTTCCACGAAGCAAACTGTTCTCTGAGACTTTTGTTCTCTATGCATTTCCTACCGTTGTTGTGTTTTTTTTTTTTCTATTTCAACAGTTTAAATTTGAGTCAATAACATTGAGAAAAGCTAAAACTTTGAAAAAAAAGCAAGAATAAACCCTAAGGAAAAACAAATCAATCATAATACCATTGATAATAC